TAATGCACCATGATACCCATGTGTATGTGCGGGTGCGGGTGTCCCCCAAAGGGACTGAGCCATGAGGTCGATGAAGTGCGGAATTGAATCCACTTGATGCCAACAAGTGCATTTAAGTCCACAAATGACTGCAAACGAGCGTCGTCGTCCGCGATGTCTCAAGCAACACCATTACAACATCTCATCTATGGCTGAGTCATCGCCATCGTTATTGACACTGACAGTGATACTCGCACGGTGATGCAAGGTCTACCTTCAACCACTCGTCGCGGCACTTGCACCGCTGCGGCGCATGAATGAATGAGGAGAAAAGGCGTTTAAAAACGCTCGACCGATCGCGCTGCTCCAGCCGTGCGCGCAGTTCCGTTGTTGTCCATGTTGATGACTTGTCCCACTGACAATTAACATTTTCGTGCCATCAATGCGCATGAATTGGCACAAATTTACCAAATTATTCTTTGCTGTCATCGCGTGCAATAACAGCAACAACATGCGCTGCGTTAAGGAGCATGATCATCAAATGATGGAGGGCATTTTTTTTTTTTGGAAAGGGTATGAGCCAAGTCAAAATGATTGCGTTGCATCGCTGAGGAAAACGTGATTCGGCTTAAATTTTCAGCTAAATAAGATGCCATACTTATTGCAACCAAATTGCCGGTAATAATGTTGCACTCGGACTGGGTGAAGTGCAAGCGATCGAGCTCGTCTTAAATGCTCAAGAAAACAGACTTACGCTCGCCACACCTGAAATATTCATCATTCATCGATTGGGTTGAGTGTATGGGCAGATGAAGGGCTTATGTTGATCAAACATCAGTACTTAAATATGTATGTATGTACATAGAGAACAGCATTTTGCAGGGTAGCCTGCCAGTGATGATCGGTTGAATTCCTTCACATGTGTGTGTCTTCAACTCCATTTCCAATTCGACAAACTGGCTGGTGAAGTCGTCAAGTGCTCTGTGCGTACACCACACACGCGCTTATTTCTCAAGTAGTACACTCTTGCTTTCCCATTCTTATTAGTTTTCATTCATTATGATTTTTTTTTATTTGGTTTCGAGTGTTGCGGAAGAATTGCCTTCGTCACTTTGTTCAAGGTACCTATTTGCAGCAATGAGTGATGACGCAGAAGAGTTTACAAGAGTTTACTTCCTCGCCTTAATGATCATCAAACTGATATTCTTCAACAACTCGTTACTCTGCTCCCACGACTCGACGGAAGGGAATGATGAGACGCCCAAAGATCTCTTCTCTGAGCGGTTGGAGCGCATTTTACTTCGAGGTTAATCTAAAAAGATATAAACCTCTAATTAACCTCACGCCTCTGTGTAGCAAAAAAATTTCATCCATCAAAGCAATGAAAGCTCAACGCCGAAAAGCTGCAATCTCAACCGACGGCCAATGCATTCGCCCCTCTACTCTAACACCTGCCCTCAGAGAGCACTCTTCAACATAACGACATATGCGGGCAGTGGCATCACATTTCCCGCTCAGCGAGCCCGAAAGTACACCTGTTACGACGAGGAATGTCACGAAGCTGTAGAGAAAAGATTGCCATGCTGCGATCGGGCGCAATGCGAGATATGTGGGACCGATATACGGAGTTGAAGAGGAAAGCGAGACGTAATTGCCGCAAGAGCGAAGAGAGATACCGAAATGCGTATGTAATTCCGAAGAGCTTGGAATGCTGGCCGACAGGAAAAACTTCCGATAATTTTACCGCAAAGTTAGGCGCAGTCAAGGCTACGCGGATGACATTGTGATTACTGCTAGAGCAAAATTCGCGAGTACTCTCTGCGACTTCGTTCGAAGAGGACTTAATCTTAATCCGTTTTACAGGAAGATAATTCTCAAGGGGATGAGGAACTTAGCTTTGGATGGAGTCGCGGGTAATATCATCACAAAAGTGAAGTATGTGAGTCTTATGCTGGACCCCAAACTCCTGTGGAGGACTCATGTTGAGGCGGTCACCTCCAAGGCTACGAGAGCGCTAATGGTTTGCAAACGTCTAGCCGGCAAATGTTGTGATGCACTTCAAGGATTCTAAGTCGGCTTGGGTATCTAGGTATCATTCTGGCAACGGTAAGGCAGTCCCTCCCCAAAACCCAACGTCTGGTGTGCGTTTGCATCACAGGGTGGTAATTCATTAATTCGGTCACTGCTTTTTACAGTTAAACTGTGGGTAAAGCGAACTCTCTTAAATTACGCGAGAGAGGAGTTTGATAACGGTAAGGTCTTATCTTCTAGGGACAAGGCTATTTGAGGATATGCATAGCATAGTAGTTTTAGAAAGAAGATTTAGGGTTAATATATACAACAAGGCGACCTGGAGGAACAAATTTAGGTGAGCACACTATAGTGGTACTGCCGTTATACACCGGGGGGTGTTGGAGCAGGCGTATATGGACTAGACTGAAGGTTTCTTCGTTTACGGGTAATTTTAAGCTAAGAGGCCACATGCATCTCCGCCAAAGAGACATCAATGCATCTCCTATGTCGGCGGATTCGCGTATCGGCTTAAAAAAAAATAAGAGCACTTCGATTGATCGGGAACCAGCATTAACACCGAAAATAACGTCTGGCTCGAAATCCTACGCAGAATCAGTCCGCTGGCTCCAGCTCGGAAGAAGTTGTAAACACCAGGCGGAGAGGGGCTTGCCTTTACATCGCATTACCATTTTGCGTTAGATGGAGCAGAAAAATAACGGCTGGGGTGCTTTATTGGTTAAGTCAGAATGGCTTAGGCAGCTCCAGCGCCAAACAAGAATATTAAAGTTTCAGTCTATGTAGTGTGCGTCTAAACCTACACCGTTAAAATAACAAAAAAAAAAATTGCTTTTTTTTTATATTTTAATTTGTTTATTAATTTTGTGTATTTTACGTGGTTCGTACATAAATCGTTCTATTTCGCCTTCACGATCACAATTTAGAAATCTCTTCCAAATAGATTCAAGGCATTAGTTGCGTTGCAGATGCTTCACGATTTGCAGGTTTTTACAGGAAGCCGTTCCAGGTGACCACCTTCCATTAGGTTTATTAATGGAGAAAACAGCTGTTCCTGCAAATCCTGTAAAACCTACAAATCGTGAAACATCTGGAACGCTACTATTCCTAGACGCGCTTTTACCGCATAAGCATTAAAATACTGTAAAGTAGAAACAAGAAAAAGCTAAATACAGCAATATAGGAAAAAAATATATGCAATTTGTAGCATAAGCGTATGCTAAGTGCGAACAAAAGTATTTACGAACAAGGAATGCTGTAGCGCAGTGCAGTGAATTAATATAAAAAGCGCTCAGCATTTTGCACAAAACGTATTTCCCTTTTACAACTTCCTAACGATTACACACTACGATTTTACATATTTTAGACGCCCATACAAATTTACGTTGGTATTTGAGTGCTTATACATACATATGCATGTGTTACAGAGTTAATAATATATTTTCGCATAAAAGTATAAATTTATATTAAGATTACATAAATGATATACATACGTATGTATATAATACAATATTTGTAAATAAATATCTACCGCCAAAAAGTAATTTACATATACATAAGTATATCAGAAAGTACATTTCACAATTTATTTGCCTTTTTATCTTTTGGTCATCATATCGAAATTTGCACTTTACAGATTTACTACATATGTATATCGACCCCTTTGCGGAAAATTATCATATGTTACATTTTTTTATGAAATTCACTTTTTGATGCAACTTTGTTTTACAACCCATAACGCATCACCTGTTCAAATATTACGGCTTGAATCCCAACAGCTACCCCAAAAATTGACTGTAAGTTTTATATGTATTTATTTCTTGTGTGCGAAATTATCATATGGGCTAAGAAACTAGAATGTAGAGAAAAAATACAAAAAACATTTTCAGGTAAAATTTGGTTTTTGTAACATACGATAATTTTGCGCAAAAGGGTCGATATGCAAAATAAGAATCCCAACCCATTTCTAAACCGGAGAACATATATTATTCATATTTTGCACAGATGGCGAACTAACAATGGGCATGTATTTTTATCACTTACATTTCTGTTTTAATAAGCCATCATAAAATTTTATTGTTTTAGAACTTTTTAAAAAGTGCTTGCTTTCAAATATCACCTCAACAATTGAATATACCACCTCAGTATTGCGATTGAACTTCGCAGACTACATAAAACTGTACAACTTAGCAGCAACATATGGATGAATGCGAAGAAAAAACATTGCCATCAAAAAAATACTTTCTAATGCACGCAATAATTATTGTTTGAATTCGAATACAAGAATCATTATGATAATGAATAATACCACTGAAAGGATGCCAACCAAAATAAGCTTCTTCCTACGCACTTGATTCTAAAACGAGAAACAGAGTCGAATCATTTATGAACGAGATTAATAAAGAGAATATTTCTACTTAAGCGCAAATAATCCACTCACTTTATATGAACTGGCTTTACGCAGATTATCAGCACCCTGTGACACAAACACACTTGTCTGCTCCACGGACGATTCAATCGAATCAACAGTTAGACCTTGTTCGTACACCATGGCGCCGAGCTTCTTGTAGATTTCATTCACACCAACTATATTTTCCTGTAGCATAATAAATGTTTGTTAGGATTTAATTTTTCGTTGAATAAACTCTTTTTTTTTGATTTACCTCCAGTTCACGTATTTGACGTTCCTGTTCTTCAAGCGCTTGTAAATCGATTTCTTCTTGCATTTGTGTTTGTTGTTGTGATTGATTTGATCTGCGACTGAAAAAGTTATCCTCGAAGAAGGAGCCACTATTGTTGCTGCCACTGGTACCACCACTGCCACTGCTGTTGTTCGTGCCCGGTGGTTTGCTAATGTTGTAACTGTGCGCACGCGCTTGTCGAACAGCATTTTTCTCGATATCGACTGTTTTGCGTTGAACGGCCTTAGAAAGTTGAAATTGAAATTACATGATTATAAAATTTAAACAAAAAAAATTAATTTTTTAATAGTGATTTTAAAAGTAAAGCTTAAAGGCGAGACCTCGGACGAGGTTTAATATTTCATGTAATTAAAGGGTGCATTCCAAAACGTCAAAATGCAAAGAATCAGTAGATTGTTATGTTAAATGTGCGCAACCACGATTAGATGTTAGTTGTTTACTTCTTGTGCCGTTTAGAAATAAAAAAGACTGATGCTTTTTATATTTTGACGTTTTGGAATACACCTAAAAAATCATCATACCTGGACCTTAGCCACCAAATGACTGGTTTTATATTTTGAGGTGGCTAAGGATCACTTGATTGCATTATACTAATAAGAAAATAGTTGCTTACAACGATTCACTGGGTTTTGCAACAAAAAAAAATCTGTTAAAATGCACAATGCCAAAGTCCGGTACATTTTGTAATATCTCAAAGTAATGAATTAATTTATTAGTCAAAGTATTAGAACGCAAACAACAAAAGACACAATAAAGATACCATAGGATCACTCTAAAACAGATAGCGAATGAGTAATGGCTACAAAAAAAAAAAATGATAAGAAATCATATAATGAAATGAAAATGAAAACATGTAATTTTTAAGCGAAAAACAAAACCGACTTCAATGCTCATATAAAAATTTAGGACTATCGTCAATTTCTTCATAATCCAATGATCGCATTTAAACTAAATTAGTATGGGACCACCTGTGAGGTAAAACATTTCCTTTAAAAAAAAATTTAATATAGAAATCAGTTAACGTGGTCCAAAGTTATGCGGAACATACATATGTACATAAAAATAAAATATTCCGACAAATTGATAACCTTCTCCTTTTTGTTAAGTCGGTTAATAAAAGCAATCGAAGCAGATTTTATTTTTCATGCATACTTATTTATCGTTACCCTAATATAGAAAGTCCCCATTTTACATTTCTGTTTCTTACAGCATAACAAAGTTTAATGTTTTTTGTAGCGAATTCAATTTTTTAATGAAGAATATAACTTATTTTATGCTGCATTAATTGTTTTTAAATTATGTTATGTTTAGTGGGTAGTCTAACGATTTTTTCTTATTTTTCAAAGATAAATTTTGATATGTTGATCAAAAGAAAGGTCCTACTTTGTACTTTTGAGGAAAACCTACTAAATATTTATAATCATATTTTGAGTGGAATGCTTACCTGAAATGCGGTTAAAGCAGCGGTGAACTCATCTACCAGCCGATCGCGTTGTATTTTCAAATGACGTTCCTTGCACTTATCCACCTCTTTCAATTGATTATTTGTGTCCGAAACCAATTGATGCGTATAGGTCATTATTTGATGTCTGAAAAGAAAATACATATACATATTGTGGGCATACAATGTCAAGTAATCGTCTTACAGCTGTTTCTTCAAATCAGGCGAATCCTGTGGCGTATTGAACTGGTTAACCATGCGTTGCATAGTGGACACTGCAAATGGCAATTTTTTTTATAGGTATGACGCATTTTTATTAAACAATGAAGCTTACCATTTTGTAAAATTTTTTGTATGCTTGTCGCGATGGTTTGCGCAAGACGTTGGAAATCATTTTCACTGAAGCCGCCCGTGGGCCCTACTCCAGCACCATGGCCACCGCCACTGATGCCATTCTCCATATGCTGCAGATCCATGCTCTCGTAGGTAGACACTGTGGTTGATTATTGGTTGATCACCAACAAACTGAAATATATAGGTACCTATGCAGATTTTGACTAAAAGAAGGGAGTGGTAGAGCAAAGTTTGCCCTCGTCCTCGAAGACTACACTCACTGCTCGTTGATGTCGACTGGTACAGCTATTTAAAGAATGTATTAACTAAGAACGCACTTTATTCGGCCTATTTACACACCTTTCTTTGTTTCAAAATTCGATTATTGGCTGAGTTCTCCCCTATTACCAGTTACGTCGCTAATTTTCAATGTATATTTGCTTGTTTGGTGTCACACAACTGCTGGCACTGCGCTAATGCTTTTTGGCCTTTTCTTTTTCCTACCAACTTTCCCTTAATCGACGTCAAAAACGATTCAACTTATTGATTAGCACAAACAGTTTTGCAGTACGGGCTTCTTGGTGATTTTGCTTTTTGTATTTTTACATTTATTACAATTTTCAACAGCTTTTAATAATTAGTGCACTTTTTCAATTTTTCCCAGATGACAAATCTTTTTTACTTGTTTTGCAAAAAAATTGGTCAACTGCGTACTGTCAATTTTAGCCAGAGATGCCATTTCCCCTTAAGACGTTTTATTTCGACATGTTTTTTTGAAGAAAAGAAGGTTTGATTAATTTGGTTATTTGCCTGATACGATACTTATATCTGTATGTAAGTTTATGTATATTTTTGCTGCAAATATATGTAGGAAAGATTGTGAAAGCACCTCAGAATCAAATAGCTACAGATTTATTGCCAAAACACACGGAATCAAAAGGCATTAACGTCATTAATCCCACTATTTAAAAACTGGTTTTCTTGGGTATTAATTTGCTTTTTAGAAATGGCAATGCTCTCCCTCGCGAATTTATCTCTCTCTTTGTTTTCAACTGTCAAAGTGACGCACGAAATGCCACAGATTTTTTTTCTTTTCTCGATAAAAGAAAATTGAGTGCGTTGAACAAGAAAGGTGTGGTTGAAAAAACGTAAATTTTACTATTAGATTAATGCGTTAGCTTGTAAAACTTGTTAAAAATCTTTCGGAAAGTGTTAATATTATATATTAGAGCATCAGCATAATGGCAGGACGTCTACCGGCTTGTGTGATCGATGTTGGCACAGGGTGAGTGAGCGAAGATTCGCTGTAGAAAAGGAGGTCGCTGGTTCATTGATCACTGTGTGTACGTGTTGGTGTACAAGCGGCCCCCACTATTGCAGAGTAACCTGCAAAACTATGCACCAAGAATGCACCTTATTAGAAAGAAAATATTTTTGAGTTATTTGCCAATTTACAGCTATACAAAATTGGGCTATGCGGGCAACAAAGAACCACAATTCATCATTCCCTCAGCAATTGCCATTAAGGAGACGGCACGAGTGGGTGACACCAATACGCGACGTATTACAAAAGGTGTCGAAGATTTGGATTTCTTTATTGGCGATGAAGCATTCGATGCTACTGGCTATTCGGTGAAGGCAAGTATAAAGCTAATAGAGTAAATTGATTTAGTAATGCAGTGACTAATGATGACTAATCGAACAATACAAGATAACATAAAAGGATTTAATGGAGAACAACATAAATTTAAAAAAAATTTAATATACTTTTAGTACCCGGTACGTCATGGATTGGTGGAAGACTGGGACTTGATGGAACGTTTTCTTGAGCAGTGTATTTTTAAGTATCTGCGCGCCGAACCCGAAGACCATCACTTCCTTCTAACTGAACCGCCACTGAATACGCCAGAAAATCGCGAATATACCGCTGAGATTATGTTTGAAACATTTAATGTTCCTGGTCTCTACATAGCTGTGCAGGTTCGTGAATTGCATATTCAATGTTGGCGCGCGTATATGAATAGTTTTTCTTTATTTTAGGCTGTGCTTGCCTTGGCCGCCAGTTGGGCTGCCAGACCGGTGGAAGGCCGCACACTAACAGGCATTGTTGTAGATAGCGGCGATGGTGTAACACACGTTATACCCGTGGTATGTATTTGAAAATAGTTGAATAATGCTGCTGAAATATACTATTTGTTGTGGCTTATCTTATCTGGAAAAATACATATTGATTAAGCCATCAACCCAGTTTGGTGTTTATATGGATTTTGTTTGCATAGAAAAGCGTTGCAAACAATTACATATATATGTATATATATATTTTTTTTTGATTTGGATGTTTTTACACAGTTGCATAATTTTAAAACCGCCATATATTAACAAGTTTTGACTATTTATTTTCATATTATTTAATTTCAGTTATTTTCTTATAAAAACTTAGTTCATTCTTTAACAAACACCATACTAATCCATATTCCAAACTTTGTACAAAAATTATAAAAATTCACCGAATTTTCAGCGTTGTTGACGATATCACTCATTTTCTTCAAATATGTATGTTCGAAAATCTTTTTATATGGAAGAAAATGAAAAACACCATCAACAAAAAAATTGCCAAAAATTAACGGTATTTTGTAGCCACATGAAACTCACACTTCATTATAATAAAATTGCATGTGCTATAAAACTGCATACGCAAAACTTCCAAAAATTAAAAAAAAAAAGTGTAAAATTTTGGTGAAAATTCGCTGAATTTGTACAACTTTGGTGTTTGTTATAGAATTAACTATATTTTTATTTGAAAATAATTGAAATTAAAAAATATGAAAATAAATAGTCAAAACTTGGTAATAAGTGGCGGTCCTAAAATTATGCAACTGAGTGTACGTATATTTTTATTAATAAATAACTGTTGGTTATATATTTATTAGGCCGAAGGCTACGTAATTGGATCTTGCATCAAACATATACCCATTGCCGGCCGCAATATAACCTCATTCATACAAAGTTTATTGCGTGAACGTGAAGTTGGCATACCGCCAGAGCAAAGTTTAGAAACTGCCAAAGCAATCAAAGAGAAGCACTGCTATATTTGTCCAGACATCGCCAAAGAATTTGCCAAATATGACACGGAGCCGGGCAAATGGATACGCAACTATACAGGTACTAATGCGGTGACCAAGCAACCATTCAGTGTTGATGTAGGCTACGAACGCTTCTTAGGTAAGTTGTCATTTAACGTTTCTTGGGTAAAAGAGATTTGTATGCATACGTATTTATGTTTTTAGGACCTGAGATTTTCTTCCATCCTGAATTTTCAAACCCCGATTTCACCATTCCACTATCGGAAATCGTAGACAACGTAATACAGAATTGTCCGATTGATGTACGACGACCTCTTTACAATAATATAGTTTTGAGTGGCGGTTCGACTATGTTTAAAGATTTCGGTCGTCGTTTGCAACGTGACATCAAACGATCAGTTGATACTCGTCTACGGATCAGCGAAAACTTATCAGAAGGCCGCATTAAGGTATGTGTTGGTTTGAAGAATTGTATAAAATTATTATGTTAATATTATATTTTACCGCTGTAGCCAAAACCAATTGATGTACAAGTCATTACACATCATATGCAGCGATATGCCGTGTGGTTTGGAGGCAGCATGTTGGCATCCACGGTATTTTCATTAATTGCTAATTTATCGTTAGATTACTTTTGACCAAATTACATTTTTTTTCTTTCTCCCAGCCTGAGTTTTATCAAGTGTGCCACACAAAGGCCGCCTATGAGGAATATGGACCGGGAATTTGTCGCCACAATCCTGTTTTTGGCACCATGACATAATCATATACCACCACACTGTGCACACAGAATTGTTTTTCACCTCTACCTATCACTCAATTTCAATTCCTTTTAAATTTTGTTGTATGCAATAGTAGAAATAGTTCAAGTCATGTGCGGAAACAGATATCAAACAAAAACAGATACAAGATGGCGTAACGCACACATAACTTTTGTTGAAAGACGCTTGTTTTCTTAATATGTATAACAAAATTTACCTATGTTAAGCTGCTAAGTTATAATGTCAGTCGTTTTATGTTATATTTAAAGTCAATAACTAATGATAAATTTGCATTTTTTTTTTTGGTATTATAATTAAAGAGTCTTATTATGCTTATTATAGCGGCAAAGAAGTAATTATTTTAAATGTTGTCAACGCTTTTATTGCAGGGTTGGCATTTTTATACACACATATACCATACAACCATATGTAGGCATTTACGATGCAAAGCTTGTTGTAAGTGATGCAGTAGTGAGTGATAGCAAATTTTCACTGAGGTATAACATAATATAAGTATGTATTCTAATTGTTTTTTGTAACATTATCAACCGATTGCATTACTTATGCAAACTCTATTTACGCGCTTCTAATATACTATATCTCTATTATTAATGTAAATTTCTTTTTTATGTTCAGTAATTAAAGTGAGACAGTATAGCAAAAAAGTATATACCTAACTATTTAACATTTTGGCCAATTACAATTAAATTGAAACGATGAATAAAACGTGCGATTGCACAGACAAATTATTGTGCGGAGAATGTGATTCTTTATGAGAATTCAATAAAATCAATGTGAATATAATTAAAAAACAAAATGTTCGTTTCATCAATTTTTATAAAGAAATAATTCTGGAGAAAAGGCTTTGAAGTACCATCTGAGAAGGAGCTGCCTTTAAACAGAGACTCTCAACGACACGCATACATATACAAACACTGTTGCACACTCACTGGTTTGCTAAACAAGGCTTCAAGAAATCTATCAGTGTCTAGTATTGTTGCAAATTTTTCATACACTTAGCTCTAACCTAACCTTTCTTAAACTTCGAACGTAATCTTAAGCAAATACACCACACGAAAGCCAAGTAATTTTTGCAACAATTTTAAATTTATTTGTCTGCCTCTGTTAAGTGAAATTTGAGAAACGAGGTGTTAAAAGAATAAAGTTTAATAAAACATGCATATAATAAAAGCAGAGTCCAATAAATAAAACAAACCAATTACCTTATTAATATACATCCCTGTAAAAATAAACAACTGATCAGATGCCCTAGGCCTATGCAAAATAGTAGGCAAACGCTTATTTTGTTTTGGCTGGCAAAGTTTGGTCGGTTCGGCCGTCAAACATCCGAGCTCACAAACCGAACGAAACTGAAGCACACATTATTAAAGATTTGAAAAATAATTTCTAAATAAAACATGCTTTGTTTGGATACCAGTATTTATTTGATAGAAATTTTATATACTTTCAAGTTTTCGCGTTTATGTATATCATAAATCTCCTTAATTTTTATCGCAAAGATGAAATGTACCTCAAATATAGGTGTATGTAAATATTTTTTGAAAGCGTAACAGTCTAATAAATTGGTGGTGAAGACGTTGAGATAAAAGAACGCATATTTTTTGCGAGTTTATAGTTTTGATGATATATTTTTTAACAATAATTCATTTATTTTTCTATTTATGTAAATACATTTTGAAAAGACAATAATTTATGCAAGTATGCATGTATATAAAGGTCTGTGTGCCTTGGTATATACTTATTTGTGTGTTTACTTATCAAGCAAAAAATCAACCACATCCAGTTTTTTACTTCTTTTTCGTTCCTTTTACTATTAAAATTTTATATCCTCTAGATTCATAATGTAAATATGCATGTATTTATAAAAAGCAGATTTCGCTTATTCTTTTTTTAACAAATTTGGAATTAGATTTCTATGTTTATGTATATGTATGTAAAGCAAGTTCCGAATGGATATTTTATTTCGACGGTCGTTTGTTCTGTGTTCTAAAGAATTGTTCTTCGCTTGAAAAGATGATTAATAGAATTTGAGAAATATTTTTGGTCGAAATCAAAAATTGAATTGGCCTCTTTGACACAAAGGAATTGATTTAAAGAAGAAACTGTTCAGCGCGTTGATTCAATTAAGGTAATCACTAGTGTCTTCTTCTGAGCTGCCATTGTCCTCGCCATCAGCAGTCTGCATGGGTTCCACAATACGAAAATTCTGAAGAAAATCACGCATGGCATCCACAATGTTTGTCAGCGATTGTGTGAGTTCACGATACGAGGCACCGCCTTCGGTGTCACCAGCAGCATCTAAAAATCAATTAATTTACTAAAATGTTTGATAAAAAGAAAAAAATAGACGCTCGCACGCCCTTACCTTCGGCTGCAGCGTTTTCTAAATTTGCATTTAAAGCTTGAAGATGACGATCCACTTGCGCTACTTCATCATCGTCGTGAGCCGCATTGACTGGTGGTGCAGGCAGAGCGTTTGCTCGTGCTACCCCAGCTTCGACAGCAGCATTTGGTTGCTGTTCACCACCGCGATTATTTAAGTTAAATGACGGCATTAGTGATTCAAAGAACATAAAAACCGATCGATTTGGTCCTGTTGTTGGGCTACTGGAGGAGGATTTTCTACATTTAAATATAAATAAATTAAGCGGGATTAAATTTGTCAAACATATTTTAAATATTTTCGTTTTGTATATACCGCTCATAGCAATTGACTGAGTCCACTGGTGGCAATGGATCGTACATCATTAATGGATCCTTCTCCTTGGCAAGGAACGGCGCTAGAGGCACTTTCTCCTTGTAATCAGAAAGTATCACATGACGCAATATGGGACGTGGTGGCGATACATAACGCACAGCACGTTTCTGATTATAATCGGTAATGACTTCATCCTTTTGATCTACTAGATCCAAAACCAAATTGACATTGCGTTCCAACCAAGGCAGCATGTTATTTTGTCGCCAAACAACTTTAGCACGGCAAATGTACAACGACACCAGTTGATGTAGCGAGGGAGATTGACTGTAATTGCGAAGATAAATAATATGATTTAGGGCGTATTCAAAATACAGCATTGTTTCTTTAGCATAAACTTACCTGCCAGATATAGAGTTGTTAAAATACGACGAAGCTTGTACACGCTTGTCAGTCTGAACAGATAGCTCATCCAGCAGAGGGCGCAATACACCGGGAAACATTAAGAGTGCATACTGCAAAGCCTTATCCGACTTTTCACATTCTACAATTTGGATATTTAATAGAAGAATAACCTTTCCTTAGCATTAAAGTAACACTCACCTCCCATTTGGCAAAACAATGCCAAGGCATAAGAGTACGCCATATTTGGCAATTGGGATAGATTACGCACGGCATCATATTCTTCATAAAATTTAATAAGCCATGCATACTGTTTGCTGCGCAACGCATAATAATCAATGATCAGCACAATGGCCAAGGGATCTACTTCCGGATTTAAGCTCAGTATCAATTTGGAAAGCTCGAATGCAGTGCGACAACAAGCGCGTGCTTCCAAGTACTGAGCATGCTTAAATAGCGTAATAAAGAATGACCTATTTTCTTGACGGCGGTAATCCAGACGACAGTTACCCGACGTCAAGCTAAAGCTCGGATGCAATGATGACTCTAGCACAAGTACGGCGCGCTCAATAAGTTCGGCTGCTAAGCTGTAATTCTCCGTGATTTTGCCTGTTAACCAGAAAAAATTAAAATCACAAATAGCAAATAATATGTATAAGTGCCCAATGAACTTACACAATTCGCTTAGCTGTATTAGAGAATCGACGTGATAGGGACATCGTCTTATCAAACTGATAAAGAAATCGGAATCAGTACGTTCAACTGCTTGTAAAAACAAATTCTGCACGCTCTGATAGTATTGGCTGTGCTCGAAAGCAAACCATTGAATTTTTCCCGACTGACGGAAATTGTTGGTACTGCTGCTGCTACCTGCCAATTGCTCTGGCAGCTGCACTGGCTTCATTGTTATGATGTTCTTGGTTATCGGCGGCCATGATTCCTTGGCAGTTACCATGTATGTGGTTTTAAGTGTCAACTTTTGACGACCCCGTTTATTCCTTTGATCAAGAAAGAAACAAAACCATCAAATTTCGAATGCGAATCGTTGATGCTGAATACTCACTCAATTTTAACGACTCTTTTGCCAAACGTACGGCGCAATTCATTTTGTGGATTCAAGTGTTTCAATTCGACTGTCAGTAATGATTTATCGATCTCTATGCGCGGCGGATTGAGCTTTTGATTTTGATTTGTGGCGTTATGTACCTTCCCGATAAGGGAATCGATATCGCTTAGATATTTGTCAGTGAGCTGGTAAAATTTAAAGAAAATTTATTCGGTTGCGAAATTCTTTTTTATGCAAAATTCTTTTCAGAACTTTATAGGTATATTCAACATACATATAGCCTGCAACAACAAAAGTACATATGTACCTTACTACCAACATTTGAGCACACTCACTGAATTATTTGACCCAGTCCAAACCCGCTTTGCACACGTTGCACAACAAAACAGTTTACTTTCCCGGCCAACCAATACTCCACCCACACTATTAATGGCTTTCACTCATTCAAAAATTCCACTCACCTCATTATCCTCGCTGCTGATGTGGTTGCCGGTATACTTTGTTTTCTTCTTGCGCTTCTTTTTCTTCTTTTGTTTGGCTGCACCTTTTCCACCAGTTCCACTTGGCAGATTTGCCGCCGTTGATGCATGCTCGGTTTCGTTGTCATCCTCCTTCACTTCGCTCTCGGAGAGACTTTGCTGATTCAACTGGTGCGACGAAGGTGGCAATTTTTTTTTTGTTGTATTCGAAAGTTTGTGTAAATGATATGCAAGGAAGCGAAAGATATAGGATGACAAAAAAGTTTATTTCATTCGATTCATGATTTGATTCGATGAAACTAACGCGATACCACTTAGGTCAAATGAATTTGTGAATATGTATGTATGTATAAATGCATGTATGCATGTAGTAACCCCTATTAAAAGTCACCCTCTCCCTATTTGTGGCAACGTTTTCCGTTGCTTTTGACTAGCATTAGTGGCTATTGGAAATTGATGTCAATTGTCTGTATGCATGCTTGGCCATTATTCCCCATTAGGAGAGTTGGAAAATGAAATCTCTTTCTTGCATAAATAATGATCAAGGCCTTATTAAATAACTGTTTGTGAATCTACTCACCAGGTCAAAAGGATTTAAATGTTTTCCGCGAGCTGTATCCAATTCATCATCATCGTCGCTTAGTTGGTCATCATCGATGTCATCTTTAGCGTCAATTATTGAATTCTTTTCGGTGCCACCTTGCAGTTTCTTTAGAGCACGAGAAGACATCTTCGAGAACTTGAACTGCTTCAATAACTGCTATTCACACCACGATGACGTCTTCACATTTGACTTGGCCTATTTTGTTTAGCCTCAGTTGTTTGCATACGTATTTATCAAAATTATTAAAAGTTTAATTAGTTCACTTACTTTGGACGCAACTCGTCGCTTGTATGCTAGCAAACAATGGATACCAAATTTTAGTGTTTTGATTTCGGGAGCTTAGATAAAAATCAATATTCTCCAATAAATCGTTTCCTGACAAAAAACAAAAAAAGAATGGAAAATTACGTGAAAGAAATGTCAAAAACAGCGCGAATGAAGGGGCAAAAAAAAACGTCAAACTTGCTGGAAATTTTTCTGGGATGAACTACCGGAAATCATTGGAATGCACTACCGGAAGTACAAAAACGTCAAACTTGCTGGAAATTTTTCTGGAATGCACTACCGGAAGTACAGGGTGATAAACACGGGCTCTCCCCCTATACTTCCGGTAGTGCATTTGGTCCCTAACCGATATTTCATCCCATAAGACTGCTTTTACACAGTTCAAGTATTGAATTCAATTCTGCTCGCAAGTGGAAGAGGTGGGGAGAAGAAAAGGGACGAGTACACATGCGCCTGTTCCGTCAAGTCGTTTCAACTTTCTTGCTTTGCTTTTGGCATTTTCGTTGCTTCCCATTTAAAGAACCAAAAACTTGAGTTCAACAGAATTGAAATGTGTAAAAGCAAATAGAAAACACAAAAGAGAATGATCAAGACTTGATTCAAGTACTCGAATCATGTAAATCGGGTGTAATAATACCATTTTCGTTGCCCTTTCATTGACGTTTGCTGTCGCAGAGAACGATAAATACAGAGAAGCTGCAATAGGCCGGGAAATTTTATTTTGTAATAGAGCAGAAACGCGCTAGAAGTTCACCACCCAGCTTAAATTTTTAACCAAGGCGAATTTATATAAGGTGGTGTTGTTTCATCAGCTGTGATTAGCGTTTGATTGTCAAAATTTTGTATTTCGTTAGTGTTCACAACGAAATGACTTTTGATAGTTATTTTAATGGCTCTTTCATTGAATTTTATGGGACCCCTTTTTTCTGTATTACACAAAATTTTCTGACAAAAATTTTGGAAAATGTTATTTTCATAAAAAATGCAGATGTCTAACAATTAATAAATCTAAATTTACGAAGATTTTGTAACCCATATTTTGGTCAACAATTTGTAAATTCTTCATTAAAAAATTATAAACACACAAAGAGACAAACGTGTAAAAATGTTTGTACATATAGGTACCTACATGCATTTTTTCGTAAACAAATGCATATGCCCGCGGCTGTTCTTTTTTGGCTAGGTTTGTATTTTTATGAATTTCAAACGATATTTAATAGAATGTACACCTTATCCCATTGCCACCTGTTCCATGGAATTTAATATAAAAAGTGGTTACATACGCTCACTCTTTGTTTTTTTTTTTTAATATTCACAAGGTTTTGCAAGCTATATTTTTTGTTATTTTTTGTATAAAAATATGGTTCATGCTATAAACAAACCGTATAAATCAAAGTTTCTGTTAATTTTGCGCGGCTCTGAGGTCACACTATTAAAAAGTGGTGGACTTCTAAAGCAATCTATGCTAAAAATTTAAGGTGGTGAACTTCTGGCGCGTTTCTGCTCTATTACAGAAAATAAAATTTCCCGGCCGCAGCTTCTCTGTATATAACATCTCTGCCATTCTAAACATTGACAAATTATCTTATAATTATATCCACGGATATATAATATAATATTATATTATATATCTTATATTGTTTATCTTGAAATGGACAGGTCGGTTGCAGTGATGTCGTTTCCTTAAAAACATGTGTTATAAAACATAAAACGTGGTACAACATTCGCGTATTAATATGAATTTATATCCCTAATAAGTTACACAAAGCGTAAATATCTACAGCATTTATAAAACACTATCAGTTAAAATTATGTATCATCGATTAAAATTTTATTTCAAAACAAACTCTTGAGATAAAAGAATTATTTCAATTACCGGTAACAACTGATGCCTACAACTAATTTTATAGTAGATCTGGGTGTAAGAT